TATGTATATATATATATATATATATATATATATAGTGAGACACCTCTCATTGGCCAACTATTTATCCTTTTTTTTGCATTTTTCTCTCTTTTTTTTTAATTTAAATAAATTAGTTCAATAATGGCTTGAGGCTTTTTGGTTCCCCTAAAAGTACTCCGTTTAAAAACTCAAAATGTCACCTTTTTTAAACTTTCTTCTAATGTTTTAAACTTTTTCCCTTCCCCATAATTACTTATTAATTAGTTATTTATCATTTTGCTTAGTAATTATGTGACACCAAAATCATTTTTCTTTTATTTTTAACTTTCTCGTCATTAAAGCTCAAAATCTCTAAATATATTTATTAATAATATTATTATTTTATTTCAACAAATGATACATTATTTGTAAATAATATTTAGACGAAATGAAATTCAAGTGTGTGTGTGTGTGTATATATCCTATTTATCTTTTTTCTCCCTTTTTTGCATTTTTTGTTATTTTTATTTAAATAAATTAGCTCAATAATAGCTCGAGTCGTTTTGAGTAACTTTCCTCTTATTTAGACTCTAAATACTTTTCCTCGTATTCTCTTCTCTAATGTTTATATGAATTTGATTGAAATTCAAGAAGTACACGTATTTTATGACTGTTTGTTATCACCTACGTTAAATAAATTTCATATGTACCTATTTATTTAGTGGATAAATAAAAACCAATTGAAGAGCTACTGCCAAACCAATAATTATTTTACAGTAATGCAAGTAATAAGATGATGTCTGTTAAATTGATCAAGTTGTTCATGATGATAAAAAATTCGATTTGTGATATAATCAATTTCTATATATGCTTATGGATAAAAACTATCTATTTTATCTCAAGTAAATTCAACAAAATATATTTTTAAAATATTATCCAATTAAACCGCACGAAGCGCAGAAAAATCACTATTGTGTAAATATTTTAAGAACCTTCGGTGCAAGCTTAAGCTCATAAAGAAACGATAGGTCCACTTTGTTTAACATAATTATCCCTTCATCACCATTTCCGTTCTTCCACCACATATTGTTAACTATCGAATTCATGGTCAACGCAATAAGATTGAAAATGGCAGAATATACACCTTTCTAGAAGAGAAATATCGGGTACTCTTATTATGTGAAATTGTGTTCCTTTGATTCACTGTACAAGTCTCTTATATAAACAAATGGATTGAGTACATGAAAATAATTATCATCTACACAAATGGGCTCAACAATAAAACTGACTAAGCTAAAACTAAACTAAGGTGGCTTGGCCCATTTTACTTCAGCTCCAACACCCCCTCGCAAGCTGGAAGGGCTTGCCATTCCAAGCTTGGGAATAAAAGCCTTCTGCTGCACGCCAAGCAAGGATTTAGTAAACACATCAGCAATCTGAGCAGAAGTGGAAATAGAATGCAAAGAAATCAAACCATCAGCCAAGGCATTTCGAACAAAATGGCAATCCACCTCAACATGCTTGGTTCTTTCATGGAAAATAAGATTTTTGGCTATGTGGACGGCTGCTTGATTATCACAATAGACTACAACCGGACGAAGATCAACCACCCCAAATTCAGCCAACAGCCGGACTAACCAAGTGATCTCAGCAACCAGAAGCCTAAGAGCCCTGTACTCTGCGCCTCAGTAGAGGACAAGGCAAGAGTGGGCTGCTTTTTAGACTTCCATGAAATAGGACAACCACCTAAAAACAACACAAAACCAGAAACGGATCTCCTGCTATCAGCACAACTAGCCCAATCAGAATCACAGTAGCCATGCAAAGAGAAGTCAGGAGAGTTGGAAAGAAGAACAACCAAATCAGAGGAACCAGCCAGGTACCTCAAGACATGATAAGCAGTTGTCAAATGAGGAATCCTAGGAGCAGACACGCTGCAAAAAGTTCAATTTCCCCACTAATTTTCTATACACAGATGGATCAGGGAGTAACTCTCCTATATCAGCTGACAACTTAACATGAGGATCCAATGGAGCCACCACTGGAGTCACTGAAGAACACTCAAATTCAGAGAGCAAATCCATAGTGAAGTTGTGCTGGCTAACCAAGAACCCTTGGGGATGCTTGACAACTTCAAGCCCAAGTAAGTAATGAATCTCACAAAGATCTTTAATTTTGAATTGGTCATCCAAAAACTATTTAAGGGCATGGATTTCAGAAATGTCATCACCAGCCAACAGAATATCATCAACATAGATAGCAACTAAGGCAAGACTAGAACCTGCAGCCTTTCTAAATAAAGAGTAATTATTGATACTAGGCTGAAAACCTTTAGACTGAAGAGCAGAAGAGAATTTGGCATACCACTGCCTAGAGGCCTGTCTAAGACCATATAGAGACTTGTTCAGTTTGCAAGCCAAAGAGGAAGAAGGTACAGAAGTAGATGCTGAAACAGACAACCCTGGAGGGATCTTCATAAATACTTTTTCATCCAAATCCCCATGTAGAAATGCATTATTGACATCAAGCTGGTATACTGTCTAATTTCTTGTAGTAGCCACAGACAAAAGACACTTGACAATGGTCAACTTGACTACAGGGGAGAAAGTTTCAGTGAAATCCACCCCTTCTTGTTGGTTGTCACCCCTAATTACTAACCTTGCTCTGTACCTCTCAATTGACCCATCAGCCCTCTGTTTGATCTTGTATACCCACTTATAAGGAATGGCCTTCTTATCAGCAGGTAGGGAAAGAATATCCCAGGTGTGGTTAGTTTTCAAGGCCTAAAACTCTTGCATCATAGCTTCTTGCCAAGAAGGATGGGAAACAACTTGATGATAAAACAAAGGCTCTTGCAAGCAATTATTAGAGGCCAAGGAAAGAACCTTAGAACTAAAAATAGAATTGCAAATATAATCACCAAGATAAAAAGGAGGATTATGAGTTCTAGAGGACTTTCTAAGGGCAGGTGGTGAAACAGGAACAAAGGAGAAAGAAAAATGATGGATAGCAGATGTGATAGGTGAAGGTGCAGACAAATCACGAGAAAAAGTAGGAGGAGAAGAGGTAGGAGGAGAATGAGGGGGAACAGGGGTAGAAAAATGAGAGGAATAGATGTGAACTGAATCAGATGATGGTGCAGGGGAGGAAAACAGATGAGAGGAAGTAGGATCAGAGTATGGAAAAATATTTTCGTGGAACAAGACATCCCTAGAATGAAATATTTTGTAAGTGGACAAATCCAATAATTTGTAACTCTTCTTACCAGGGGTGTACCCAAGGAAAACAGAAGGAATGGACCTGGACCTGAGCTTGTCCCTGTATGGTTTAGGTACAACAGCAAAACAGAGGCAGCCAAAAACTCTTAGTTGGTTCAAAGAAGGAACAATTCTATAAAGCAATTCAAAAGGAGATTTGTTTCTCAATAAAGGAGAAGGGAATCTATTTATCAAAATGTAGCAGTTAAGATGCATTCACCCCAATACTTTATAGGCAACTTGGACTGAAAAAGAAATGCTCTAGCAGTTTCTAAAAGGTATTTGTGCTTCCTTTCTACTACACCATTCTGTTGAGGTGTATGTGGAGAAGAAGTTTGGTACAAAATGCCATGAGTGGAAAAGAAAGCTAAAGCTGTAGTACTAGACCCTAGTTCAAAGGCATTGTCAGACCTTACCACTTTGATAGTAGAATTAAACTGAGTTTGTATCATGAAAATGAATGATTGAAGTAGAGTGAAAGCACTTCCTTTAGATGATAACAAATGTGTCCAAGTGGCTCTAGAAAAATCATCTACAATAGTCATAAAATATTTAAACCCATTGTAAGTTGAGGTATGATAAGGAACCCAAAGGTCTATGTGAATTAACTGAAATGGTGAAGTTGAACGTATAGTACTTTCAGGGAAGGAAAGCCTTTATTGTCTAGCCATAGGACAGATAGAACACATAAAAGATTGCTTTTTGGGTAACTTCTCAGATAAAAAAGGGATAGTCTTCATTTTACTAAAAGGCATGTGTCCAAGTCTTAAATGCCAAGAATGGTCAAATGACAATGCATGTGCCTGAGTGGATGTAGAAACAACAACATTATTCACAGAAACACCAGATGCAACATCAGGCATAGAAACAAAAGATGCAACATTTGAGATAGAACTACTGCTCTTATTCATTTCATGTAAATGTTTGGCAGTAATGGTATTTACAAAGGGTGCACTTACAGCAGAAGTATAAGAACCAGTAAAAGTGGCAGGATTGAGAATATAGAGCCCATCATGAAGACTACCAAGTAGAAGTCCAAGGACTATTCTCTACCCTATAAAAATTGCAAGCAAGTAAGCAAGAATTCACAAAGTCAGGGTTACCTATCAGACCTGCAAAATTGGCAGATCCAACAGAAATCTCCTGAGGTCCAGGTGAGACTTTGGACTGTTGAAGAAGAGTCAAAGGCTGATCAAACTGCTCCTTGGTAATACTGGGAACCCCTCCTTCAGAATGAAGTTGTTTGTTCTCACAAACAAGAGTCTCAGGATGTGTTATGGGCTGAGAATCTGAAACTTGAGCAAAAGCTGCACTCCTCTTAAACCTAGACTGAAAACCAGTTGGATAGCCGTGTAGCTTGAAACACTTGTCCACTGAGTGACCAGGCTTCTTGCAATACCGATACACCAGATAATCAGAATTGAAAGAAGGAACATTAGGTTGAATTCCAGACTGACTCTCATCATTTATCAATATAGAATAAACACTATCAACATCGGGCAGAGGTTTCATCATCAGGATGTTTCTCCTAATGGTAGAATAAGACTCGTTCAGTCCCATAAGAAATTGATGAACTTTCTGCTCCTCGTCTAACCTCTGGAAGGCCTCTTTGCATCCACATATGCACACAGGATGTGAAATGGAGAAAGAAAGTTCATCCCATAGCTTCTTAATCCTATTGAAGTATGAGGCAACAGTAGAATTACCCTGAGAAATTGAAGAAATCTCTTTGCGGATTTGAAAAATCTTTATCTCACTGGCTTGGCCAAACCGACGCTCAATTTCCTTCCACAGTTTTTCAGCAGACTCAGTGTACATCACAGTCTCTCTAATCTCTCTATCTAAACTATTAAGGATCCAGGCAACAACTATGTCGTTGCACCTAGTCCAAGGTTCGAAAAGTGCAGAATTGGGACTCGGTTTAGTAACAGTACCATTAATCATTCTTAACTTATTTTTGCATGATAACCCTAACAACATTCCCCGACGCCAACTCCCATACCTCGTGCCATCAAAGGTCGTAGTGACCAAAACAATGCCGGGAGAATCGGAAGGGAGCAAATACAAGGGGGACAAAGGTGCGACAACATAATTATCAACAACATTAGAGGTTTCCTCACTAATTGAACCCATATCAACAACAAAAACAGATGTTTGACAAAAATTGAAATTAGGGTTTCAAAATTAGGGAAAATTTATCAAACTTCTCTCAATTCGTCAACAAAACAGATGCTTAACGAGAGTCGAAAAATGAACGAAATCCACCACATAATCGTCCGCAAACGACCACCAAAATCGTCGTAGAATATCTCATCGGACAGAACATATTACTACCATGAAATGACTTGATAAACAAAGAAAAACAATCAGAAACTTACTACAAAGTAAACTCCGGTACTGGATTAATCAATTTCGGGCTCTGATACTATGTTAACTATCGAATTCATGGTCAACGCAATAAGATTGAAAATGGCAGAATATACACCTTTCTAGAAGAGAAATATCGGGTACTCTTATTATGTGAAATTGTGTTCCTTTGATTCACTATACAAGTCTCTTATATAAACAAATGGACCGGATACATGAAAATAAATATCAGCTACACAACTGGGCCCAACAATAAAACTGACTAAGCTAAAACTAAACTAAGGTGGCTTGGCCCATTTGACTTCAGCTCCAACACATATAGTATTTTTAGTACTGTTTCTCAGTCGAGGGAAAGAAAAATTTGATGGATGATACAGAAATGTTGGTGGAAATTCTCTAGATGTTTCTTTTGTTAGAAAATAATTTGATAACTCAAAAAGAAATATTCAAATTGATATCTAGGTTCATTCCTTTGCTATTATGTTAATGGGTATATATTATACAATCAATTTGAATATATTTTAATATGTGTAATAGTAAATTATAATAACTTTGAATATAATATTTTATTAACATTGAATGGCTATCAAAATCAGTTTTTTTATATATATTTGAATCTGACCAAAGTTGGTCTTGGATGACCGTTTCCTTAACGTTAATTTTAATAACATTTCCTTAACTTTGATAGCTAATGTTTCTTTGGTCTTAAATGGTTTTAACGTTTGATAGCCTTAAATGAATTTGGCGTTTGGCATTTGACTCCTTAATGGAGTTTTAACATTTTTCATTACCTATCAGATGTCCATCTCCCTTTTGGACTATATATAAATATATCTATATATAAATATACGTTTGTGTTTATTGTGTTTATGTGAAAAAGTAAAAACTTTTCTTCCCCTTCTTTTGTGCTGGGTTTTTTTTAATTAATCTTTGTTGTTTTTGCTCCTAGTTATACTAGAAGAACTTGTTGAATCCTGGAGGATACACCTAATAATATTTATCAAGGTGTAGGCGAAATATCCTTAAGGACAGTGTCCTTGACACGCCTCAAGCTAACTCCTATTCTCCATAATCCAATATTTTTCCAACAATCTTATGGATGTTTCCGTATTCTTTTATTATGTAGAATCAAATTTGACGATGTACAAATTGTTTTTCTAATTCTGAAAATGGGACATGTACTTCACGTTTGCACAATGGTCTCAAGGAGAATATCACTTTTTATTCAAAGTATTTTTGTGGGCTGCAAAATGTTTATCAAGTCAATGAGCATTCTAGTGGTGAACTTCAAGGTATTATCTATCCCTAACTTATATGTTTCTCACCAATGTTCAAAGGATTCTACTGGATTTTAAAGATAGTAACTTTTTTCTCTTGTCATGTTTTTGTGTGCACAATAGTATAAACTTTGGTGAGTTTGGTTTTGCTTTATGATGTCATGTGACTTTGGTGTATACTTGTTTGAGTGATTTTCCACTAATTCAAATAGAACTTTTTTTTATGAATTGTGAAAAGATTATCTCCTTAACCTGAAATTTTTGAAAGTGAGGGTGTCGAGAATGTATTGCCGCGGTTATATAGCCTGATCATAAGGAGAATAGTAAGGAAAAATATTTATTAAAATTTATTGTAATGTCACCTTATAAAATTGAGATTTGTTGTGGTGAAAATTTGTATTGGAATATCAAAATATGTTATATTTTTGGCTCTGAAAATTTATTTTGCTTTGGCTCTCTTAGTAATTTGGTTGAAGAAATTATTGAATTATGACATGTTTAGAAAATTTTATTTTGGTATTTGAATATGGAAGATATCAAAAGAAAATAAATTCTTACATGTGTTGAAAGATGTTTCAAAAGGCACTTGTATGGAAGTCAAGTTTTATTTCATTTGAGATAAATGAGATGATTTTATGCCTTATTTGAGAAATACTATGAGCTAGTATTCTGTATGTGGATTTTTTATTGTATTAGAAGGATAGAATGATGACGGGGAATCTCTAATTCTGTGAAAAATTCACTAATGATTGTGTGATCAGTTTTTGGTTGGGTGTTATGATATTTGAATTGCCTGAAAGTGAGATTGATTAAGCAACCTCTTAATGAGTTAAATCGACAATAATTATGTCGATGAATTGTGATTGCCAAGGCGCAATAGCCATTGTAACAAAATAAATCTTTCAATGGGAAGAGTAGATACATAATGTGATATAGCAATTGCTTAGAGATGAAAATTTTTTATATATATTATGATAGTCAAAAGATGATTTAGCCGATCCTTTGACTTATAAATAAAACATCGAGGGGTTGAGACTTTTGCCAATTTGAGATGTATCAACAACGATGGTAACCCAACCTATGTGATTGGAGATCCCATAAAATAGGTTCATATGGGTAAATAACAAGTTATTAGTTGATCAAACATGCACTATTAAATTATGTCTATTACTATGGTGTGTGTGTGTATAGTGCAAGATTGCAAGGAATGTGAGTTTGAGTTATTATACTCTTAATCTAATAATCCATAGCCTATTGTAGGTGGTGTATTGTGGTGCAGAAAACTCTCGGCTCTCTTCCTCCAAAAACTTCTCACCTTGTTCTTGGGGTGACTCGAACTCATAACCTCTTGGTTGAAAGTGCAAGGTGCTCACCACTAGAGCAACCCACTCTAGTGATTAATTTTAATAACATTTCCTTAACTTTGATAGCTAATGTTTCTTTGGTCTTAAATGGTTTTAACGTTTGATTGCCTTAAATGAATTTGGCGTTTTGGCATTTGACTCCTTAATGGAGTTTTAACGTTTTTCATTACCTATGAGATGTCCATCTCCCTTTTGGACTATATATAACTCTATATCTATCTATATTATTATAAAAGTATGAATAAAATATCGATTTATACAAGTAACCTTATAATATTAAGCATAATAACTCATAATAAAAGGACATAACCGGAATTCTAGATTTCTAACGCTTTGGCCCTTCTTATCGGAGTCAAACAAGGAATATAATTTTATGTAACGACACGACCGGTCATTTTGAGTATTATAATCTTGTCTCCCCATTTTCTGCTCAAATTGTGAATTACAGTTGTTATCTGGCTTGCCGGAGTAATTGGTTTGGGTCCGGTTCCAAGGTTTAGAATTTAAGTTGAAAAGGTTGACCGGATGTTGACTTATGTGTAACGACCTCGGAAAAAATTTTGGATTGAACAATGCACCAATGTGTAAAGGAAATTTTTGTCGGAAAAGGGTCATTTCTGCGACCACTATGCGGTCGCAGAATCACTCTGCGGACCGCATAATGGTCGCAAAGTGGATCAGGAGAGGGGCAAGATTTGAGAAAAATCTATGGTGCACTATGCAACCGCAGACCTGTTTTGCGGTACATTATGCGACCGCAGAATAAGTATGCGGACCGCATAATGACCGCTGACAGGGTCAGTAATGCCTAGCTTTGGAGGCCAAATTATGCGGTCGGTATGCGGACCGCATACCTGTTATGCAATCGCATATGCGACCGCATAATTGCGTCGGAGCTTCCATTCTTTCTAATTTTTGACCCGATCCAACTTCGATTTATAGCCTTGAAGCTTATTTTTTAGCCAAAAATCTGATATTTTAGAGAGAGGTGAGAGCATTTTAGAGAGAGAAAGTGAAGACTTAGTCATTTATCCATCAATTCTTGTTCAAGGTTTAAAGATTTCACAAGGATCTTGTTAGGGTTTCAAAGAGGTAAGAATTTCTTTCCTCAATTCTTCAATTTCGGGTTTGGAATAAAAATGGGTGATTTATAGTATGATTCTTGGGTGTAAGAATATTATGTATACATACCAATAAGATTGTGAAAATATTGTTAAGTTCAAATGGCTAAGGATTGGGTTGAAAATGGTAGAGATCTTCATAGGATTTAATTGAAGATTTGAGGGTCGATTTGGTTGGTGAAATTTGTATGGTTGGACTCGTGGTTGGATGAGCATTCATATTCTGTAATTTTTGTCGAGTTCCGATACGTGGGCCCCATGGACGATTTTTGAGTTTATTTCGAATTTTATTGAAAAAAATTAGTATCTCCTTATGGAATTAATTACAATAATTGGTATTGACTAAATCGAATTAATTGTGGCTAGATACGAGGCTTTAGGAGACCAATTCTCGTGGAAAGGGCACAGCGGAATAAAGAATTACACGGTTTGAGGTAAGTAACAGTTTTAAATCTAGTCCTGAGGGTATAAAACCCCGGATTTTCGTATCATGTGATTATTTTGGAGGTGACTCGCATGCTAGGAGACCGGCGTGTGGGCGTGCACCGAGGGAATTGTAACTTGGTCCGTCCCGTGGAAACTGTAAAGTTGAATAACTTGTTGATAATTATGTGTTCTCTATGTGTTGTGAAAATTTAACTATAAGTCATATTAAAAATCATGTTTAGGCTATATGTTGGTATTGTTGGGACCCACAGAGGTCGTGTACATGTTGAATTATTTGATTAAATTGTTATTTTATACTCAGTCATAGTTACTTGATTATTTTGTCTCAGTCTCTATTGTTCATTATTGATGTGTCATATCATTGTTGTTTGGGATGATTTCATGATTGTTGAGATCCCTAGAGACTGGAGAGCTTTATGACTGAGTGAGGCCGAGGGACTGATTATGAGATATAATACTATAGCACATGAGTTGGCCGTGCAAATCCTTTTATTATACTATATCACATGAGTTGGCCGTGCAAATTCTTATATTATACTATAGCACATGAGTTGGCCGTGCAAATTCTTATATTATACTATAGCACATGAGTTGGCCGTGCAGCACATGAGTTGACCATGCGGATCCTTATATTATACTATAGCACGTGAGTTGGCCGTGCAGCACGTGAGTTGGCCGTGCGGATCCAGATATTTATATTATGACACGTGAGTTGTCCGTGCAGCACGTGAGTTGTCCGTGCAGATTATAGCGCTTGGCCTGTAGGAGCCCCTCCGGAGTCTGTACACCCCCAGTGAGCGCGGGTACCCATTGAGTGTGAGTGCTGATGGCTGAGAGCCGAGTGGTTGAGCTGTTGTGATGAGTTGAGTGACTGTTGCCTGAGAGGTTGTACTTGCTTTGCATTTATTGTTGCATTTGGTTGCTATCTGTCATTGTTATATTCGGATTACATGAACT